CTCATGCCTCTCCCTGACCTCGTCGACAAATTTCGAGACGACCCTCCCAAAAAGCATTTAGGGGCCTGAAGAATTAGAACAGTCTTTTGGGATACAGTATAGTTTTTATCTCGGGGAGACGATAAGTTTTTCCCCCACTATTGATCATTCAGACCTTTGCATCTCCCCGATCGCATGCTACAGTAGAGCCTCCTTTTATCTTGAAGTTGAACCCTTGACCCTGAACCCGAGATCTCTAAACTCCAAGCCCACAACGTCACCCCTAAGCGCCCATCAGCCCAAAGCCCAAAGCCCCCCAACCCTCACCATGGCCAGCAGCACCTCAGCGATCGCGCCTGCGCCGGCGTCTTCGCAGCCTTTGAGCGACTTGAACAGCCGCATACAGCTCATAGAAGCTTCCCGAATGGCCAGGGATGTGAGTCCTCCTTGTTTGGTGGGCTCTTGGACTGGAATTTGCTGTGTTCCCAACATGTTCCATCCAGTGGCATCCGGGATGCTGCATCAGTTTCTCGACTCCTTTAAGTGGCAGGAGTGTTCTTCTTATATGTGTGATGGGTTGTTCTTCGCTGTTCCTATCTGCTGGGGCTGCTTTTATCTTGCGTACGGTGATTTCTTCTGCTGGGTGTGGCCACGATCTCTCCATGGTGCAGCATCATCAGTGCCGTCATCAATACCATGTTGCGGGTGGCTGCAAAGTCATGATCTTCATCTTTGTCGCCAGCATCTTGTAGTCCTCGCCGTGCTAAACTCCATACCCCCCACTAACTCACAAACGACACCCAGGGATACATCAGGATGTTTGCTGTGGCCAGACGTTTGTAGCGGCTGACGCGTTGGCTCTTACCGTTTGGCGGGAACATGCTGATAATCATCGTCGTCATCATCATCATCATCATTATTCGCATCATCGATATCGTCGCTATCATATTCGTCGTCATCATCGTTGCCGCCGTACTTTCAGCACCATCATCGTCAACATCATCAGCATCATCAGCATCATCATCATCAGCAGCAGCAGCATCATCAGCATCATCAGCATCATCATCACCATCATCACCATCATCAGAATCATAATCGTTGTCTCCATCATCAACATCATCATCATCAACAACAACATCATCATTATCACAATAACCATCATCATAGTCATCACCACCGTCGTGAACATTATAATACTGGTCTTCATCTTCATCTTTATATTCGTCATAACACCATGACCATCATCATCTTCTTCATCATCGCCACTATACCTTCGCCATAATCAATACCGTTGATAATATCAGCAGCATCAACAACAATAGTATCGTCGTCATAATCCTCTCAGTGTCGCCATGATGTGCACCAATCGGCCCAGCCCCCAACAGAGGCCCAAACACTAAGCGATATCCCACATCAGCCCCGTATGACGAAGCCCACTCAGGCAGGGATATCCCTGCAAAATGCATAGGCTTACGTGCTGCTTGGGCGCCTAAGCCTAAACACTAGACACCAAACTCTCCGAATTGGGGAACCGTAAAACCCTAAACCCGAAACCCTAAACCCCGTAGCCAGGCAGCGGTTATCGCGCAAGGTCAGCGCCCTGAGCTGACAACCAGCTCCCAGGGCCTCTTCGGAAGCGCGTCTTTCGGGCTTTTTAAGGTTTGGGGGCTGAGGGCTTTTTTTGGGGCTTGCGGCTTGGGCTTTCAGGTTTCGGGGGATTCAGTGATGCGGGCTTTGGGGTTTAGGCTTTAAGGCTCAGGATGCTTGAGGGCTTAGTCTTTAGAATTCGGTCTTTGGTCAACTCTAACTTACGCTAGGTGGTGCTGCCTTGGCTTTTTACGATCATGATTATGAATTCTGCTTATGATAAATAGTACTACTCGTGCCATTCTCATTGCCATCATTGCTACCGTTGCCATTGCAATGCTGTTGCCATTGCTGTCGCTATCGCTATCGCTTCTGCATTCGTACTAGTACTAGTACTACTACCAATACTGTTACCATTAAGTGGCACTATTGCTATTGCTCCTGCTATTGCGATTGCATTTGCTATCGCTCGTGTTACTGCTACGATTACCATTACTACGATTACCGATTATCATTATTACGGTAATCACTGCTAGTCTTGCTACGAAAACCATTACGACTATGTATGTCATCTTCCTGTAGTGCCTAAACCCTAAGCCCAATTAAACCCTAAACCCCCTGAGCCCTAAACCATCTAAACACCCTAAACCCTAAACCTCCTAAACCCTAAACCCCCTAAACCCCCTAAACCACCTAAACCACCTAAACCACCTAAACCTCCTAAACCCCCTAAACCTCCTATACACCTCCTAAACCCCTCAACTTCAGGAGGCCTCAGCCAAGGCGACGATGCCCTGAGCACCCAGGGCATTGCCTGAGCTTCGAATCCCCTGAGCTTTCTGAGCCAAGGACTTAAGGGGTTTAGGTGTTTAGGGGGTTTGGGGCTTAGGGCTTAAGGGGTTTAGGGTCTAGGACTTAGGGCTTAGGGGGTTTTAGGGTTTAGGGCTTAGGGCTTGGGGTTTAGGGGGTTAAGGTTTTTTTCTTGTTAAACCGACCTTTTTCCTGCACGGAAAGGGCTTTGGGTTTACGGCTGAGGGTTTAGGGTTTAACGCTTAGGGTTTAGGGGTTTGGGGTTTAGGGCAGGGGGCGGGTCGGGGCTGGGGAGTGTCCGTTGTTCAGGGTGAGCTTCTTGCTTTGGAGTTTCAGTCAAACCCTTAGAACCTAAACCCTGGAATACCGACAACCCCAAGCCAAGACCCTAAAACCCTCGTACCGGACCCTGAAATACTCAAAACCCTAAGATGCTAAAACCTCAAAGCCCCCAAGCCTGTGGGCATCTGCACGGGATCGGACGCTCTTAAACCGTGTTTATGCCCACAACAGAGCCATAGAGGGGTTCTAATCGGATCTAATGGGTCTGGTTCTTATCCCAAAATTTTAAAACCTGAAAAATCGAACCCTGAAACCCGAGATCCCAAACCCTCGAAGCCCAAACAAAAGGAACCTGCTTATTAAGGTTCTCAGATTCTTCTGGGGTTATGGGACCAGAGTCTCTTAATCAAGTTCCTACATAAACCCAATCTAGAGCCTCAAGTCTCCTGTGCACCCCGATCCAAGGGGCGGTCCAAGTGCAGCTCCTGCAAAGACACATCCGCCGCTGCGCTGCAGCGCAGCGCGGCGGCCATCGCCGCACCTCGAAAAGCTTTTGGTTTGGAGGTAGGGCTTTGAGGTTGCTAAGGGGGGTGTCAGGATTTGGATACAACCGGAGGTACGCTCTCGGATTTTGTTTTGGTAGCAGTAGCAGTCGTCGTCGTAGTGTTTGTTGTCGTTGCTGCAGCAGCAGCAGCAGCAGGAAGAGGATTCGTCGTAGTAGTAGTAGTAGTAGTAGTGGTAATAGTAGTAAGCAGCAGCAGCAGCAGCAGCAGCAGGAGTAGTAGTAGTAGTAGTAGGAGTATGATTCGGAGTTAATGCTAGTGATATTAAGTCTTCAGAGTTCACCCGCCCTTGTGTCCGAAGGGCCGGCGCTCCCGCCCAGGTGGCAGCGCGACAGGTCCAAGTCTTGGAGCTGGGCCTCAGCTTTCGTTGGGTTGGATTTCGAGCTTAGGGTTTGGGGCTTCGGGTTTAGGGTTCAGGGTTTTGAGTTTACGGTCTAGGGTTTAAGCTTCGGGGGTTTAGGTTTAAAGTTTGGCGCACGGCTTAGCTTTTAGGGTTTAAGGTTTAAGGCTTCAGGTTTAGGGCTTAGGGCGTAAGGCCAGGGTTTCGGAGTTGCTTGTGGCATGTGACCATCATCTAGGACTGTGTTCTTTCAGTGCCTCAACGTGTATTGCACTGCGAAATTCCCAAAGTCCCGAAAAAATGAAACCATCCCTTTCCGATTTTACTTTCCTTGCATAGACGTCGACAGGCACCTTCTAACAGGAATCACATACACATACTACTGGACTGTAACGTTTCCGCAATCCCTGACTTACACCCTAAACTCTAAGCCTAAATTCCCAGCAACGGCCTCCGCACTGAGCTGTCGAAAAGCGCTGTCTGTTTCTCACACAAGGCGGGGCGTCAACCGAACCGCTAATAAGGTCATTGCACATGCCGTACGACCGGAAGGCGCGGAACCCATCCTTTAAGGCAGATATGTCAAAGCTTGCAGAGAGGCCGCCCCTGATGAATTCCGAAGCGATGTCAAGGACGGCCAGGTACTTCACCACCCCCACCGACCACAAAGCGCTGTCGGGGGTTGAGGACCAAGAGCAGCAAGGCGACCCAGTCAAGAGGGCGGGCAGGGCTGGGGGCTGGCACTGGGACCCGCATCGGCACGGACGGCTCGCGTACGCGCCCCTCGAAAGCAGGAGCCGGTCCAGCGCTAATGTTGTTGTAGCCGGGCCACCATCTGCTCCTCCAGCTCCGCAGTGACTTTGAAAGGCCTTGAAGCAAAGATCGCATACCAAGTGGGTCGTAAGGTAGAGAGGGCTTTGAGTGCAAGACGAACTACCCGGGCGTCGCTCAGAGCCACTAGCCTTGGAAAGAACAGCACCATCAGCAGCGCTAACACCCAACGCCAACTCACTGGTGAACGAGGGAGCAACCTACAGGTCTGCGAGGTTGCCGTTGCAGAGGCCGCAGGTCGTCTCACCGGCAATGACTGCACTGGCGCACTTGCGCGCGTAGGCCACCTCGGTTTTGGGCCCGGGGTCACTCGAACCCACTGTTGAAGGCTTCCAAGCCTCGGGCAAAGGTGGCGGTCAATCTTCTTGTTGCATCCCGGACTGCCAACAACCACCGAAATCCGACTCGAAGCATCCGCGAGGATTTGGGGAGAAGAATTCTCTCCTTCTACCGGGCCAGGCCCAAGCGTCGCCGCTGCTTCTTCCAGCGCTGTAACCACAGTCATAGCTGCCTCTTCAGTGTTCACGGCAGGCTGCGGCGTGGCATGTCCCGTCCCGGATGCACCACGCCTCACTCCGATGGCGCGGCCACTTCGGATGGCACCTTCTTTACTTGCACGCGAGAGCCTCAGAGTCGCCCTCCTGGAAACCTCGACTCCCTGTGTTCCATCCTCCGTACCAGTAACCTTGCAAGCTGCTGTCGTTCGAAGAGTAGAGCACGAAGTAGTCGAACTTTTCACATTTCCCAGGAGGACTTCCCAGCGGTCCACCTCGCGAAGCCTGGAGTTGGAGCATGCCAGACGACGGGACACCACACCTTTCACTGGTTGCCCGGACGCTCGGAGTAAGAGACCCAGGAAGCAGCCATGCCTGCCAATGCCCATGCTGGATGACCGATTGGATCTTCGATTTTACGTTCTGCACGACCTGAGCTGCCGCGATCTCGCCGTCCCCTCGCGTCAGCCTCTCGTACACCGCGGCGTCCTGGATGGCACAACGGAATATCTGCATGCCCTTGAACTTCCCCCATGGTTGCTTCTTGACATAATCCCGAGTCCTGGAATCACCCCCATCTCCTTGATCACCTCCTTCTCGAAAGAAAAGGTGACAGATCTTCTTCGGCTTGCGATGGATCTGCTCGTGGAGCCTGTGGAGAGTAGATCGATGTCCTAGCCCTCTTCCTTGTCCTTCTTCTCCTTCCTAAGTTTTTCCCAAGGCTTTGCCCGGAGGAAGAAAACCCATCCACTCCTCGTCCGCTTCCTCGTCCTCCTCGGTTTCGTCGTCGGCGTCGGGCTCGTTGGCAAAAAGCCTGCCAAGCCCTGTCAGGTCGGCAATCAAGGGTGAGGCGCGAGTCTGCTTGCCACTCTGCGGGGGAACTCGGCCGCTCGGAGCTGCGTCGCTGCTTGCCAGTGCCGTCGCTGAAGCTTTTTCCCAAAGTGTTTTGAATGCAGAGAAAGACGCAAGCTCTCCAAGGCGGGCCCGCCCAATCACTAGGCAATACACTATGGACTTCAGCGATCGGAACTCGAATGAAGGAGGCCTCGCACTTGGTAAACTTCTCGGTCAGCTTATGTTCCAAACTCGCCACAAGAGATGGCAAAGTCCCTTGCACAGCCGATCCTTCACTCACTTCCACCTTCCACCGCAACCTCGCCATTCGGCGAGCGGGCGACAAGAGACCCTATGTCTCCTACAACGAGCATGCCTAAAAGCTTGAAAGGATACATCACAGAGCAGCCTTGCTTCATGAACTTCTGATGCTCATTCCACCTCGGTCGGCCAGCAGGGAATCTGTGCCCAACCCTGAACCTTAAACCCTCAACCCAAAGCCGACGCCCGAAACCCCAACACTAAACCCTAAANNGCCAAATGCCTGCAGCTGGAAAGTCTCAACCTAGACGAGTAGCCTCAAAGGGCCATATTGCTGGGGTCTTAACGATTTCTTTGCGGGCACTTCAAGATCTTATAGCACCAGGGTTTCACAGTGGTGCTAAAGAGCCTCTACAACTAGTCAGAGAAGCCCTAAACCCGAACGCCTCTGATTCCCTCTTTGTACACAACCATGGCCCCAGTAGTTTCAAAGTCGTAATTCAGGGTTTAGGGTTTAGGAAGT